CACCCAAGGGAAAAGATCTTGGCTGTTTACCCTATCCATGCCCCTCAGATTTCATAAACATCTATAAGGTCACCCCTCAGCCTCTGACCCTCCAGGGAAAATAGCCCTTGCTTATTCAGTCTCTCCCTAAAGCTCAAACCCTCCAACCATGGCAACATCCTTGTAAATCTTTTCTGAACCTTTTCATGTTTAACATCTTTCCTATAGCAGGCAAATCATTATTGAATGCAATGTTCCAAAACGGGCCTAACAAATGTCCTTCAAAGCCACAACATGATATCTCAACTCCTATACTCAATAAAGGTAAACATATCAAACACCTTTTACACCTTCCTGTCCACCCGTGACTCCACTTCGAAGGAAGTATGAACCTGCTTCCCAAGGTCTCTTTATTCGACAAAACTCACCAGGACCCAACCATTAAGTGTATTAGGCTTGCCCTGATTTGACCTCCCAAAATGCAATACCTCACGCTTATATAAATAAAAATTGATCTGCCACTCCTCAGTACATCTGATCAAGGTCCCATTCTGTTCGGAGATAACCTTCCTCACTATCTATTGCACCACCAATTTTGGTGTTACCTGTAAATTTAGTAACCATTCCTCCAATATTGAAATCATTTATATAAAATGACAAAAAGCAGTGGACTCAGCACCAATTCTTGCAGCACACTTCGGGTCAAAGGCCTTTCCAAATGGCCAGCTCTCCCTGGATTCCATATGATCGAACCTTGTTCATCAGTCTACCATGTGGAATTTTATCGAAACCTTACTGAAATCCATATCAAAAACATCCACCGCTCTGCCATCAATCTTCTTTGTTACTTCCTCAAAAAACTCAATCAAGTTAGTGAGACATAATTTCCGATGGGCAAAGCCATGTTGACTATCCCCATTCAGTCCTTGCCTTTCCAAATACATGTAAATCCTATCCCTCAGAATTCCCTCCAACAAGTTACCCACAACTGACGTCAGGCTCACCAAAAGTTTATAGTTCCCTGGTTTTACCTTACCACCTTTCTTAAACAATGGCACGAGATTAGTCAACCTCCAGTCTTCTGACAGCTCACCTATGACTGTCAATGGTGCAAATATCTGAGCAGGGGGCCCAATCGCAAGCCTAACTTCCCGTAAAGTTCGAGGATACACCGAAAGAGGTCCTGGGGATTTATCCACCTTTATGCTTTGGAAGACATCCAGCACCACCTCCTCCAGAATATGGAACTTTTCAAGGTACACATTCATTTCTCTAAGTTCTCCAGCTTTCATATCCTTTTCCACAGTAAATACTGATGCAAAATACTTGTTTAGCATCTCACCCTTGTCATGCGTTCCCACACGTAGCCGGTCTTCCTGTTCTTTTAAGGGGCATAATAGTTTCAAAATTGGTCTTACTCCCATTTAAAACTTTAACTTTCAGACCAGGTCTATCCTTTTCCACAACTATTTAAAAACTAATAGAATTATGATCATAGGCCCCAAAATATTTCCCCCCACTGATCCCTCAGTCACCTGCCCTACCTTATTTCCCAAGAGAAGATCGAGTTTTTAGCAGGGACTAATGACATCAGTACAAACAACCCAAAGATCACAGTTCATTCCTTGATGTAAGAACAAAATCCTTCAAATGTGGTTGTGGTGAACTTGCTGGTGTGTTAACAGTTTGGATGATTTAGTGAATCCCTTTCTACACATGGAACAAGTGAATGGTCTGTCCCCAGAGTGAACTCGCTGGTGTCTCAGCAGGTTGGTTGAGTTCGCAAATCCCTTCCCACACTCGGAACAGGTGAAAGGTTTCTTCCAGTGTGAACTCGTTGATGTACCAATAGTTTGGATGTGCGAGTGAATCCTTTCCCACATTCAGAACAGATGAACGGTCTTTTCCCAGTGTGAACTTGCTGGTGTTCCAGCAGAGAGGATGACTGAGTGAATCCTTTCCCACACACGGAACAGATGAATGATTTCTCTCTGGTGTGAACTCGCTGGTGTTTCAGCAGGTTGGTTGTCAAAACGAATCCTTTCCCACACATAGAGCAGGTGAACAGTCTGACCTCATTGTGAATTCGCTGATGTGTCACCAGGCTGGATGACAAAGCAAATTCTTTCCCACATACAGAGCAAGTGAATGGTCTTTCTCCTGTGTGAACTCGCTGGTGTTTCAGCAGTTGAGATGTCTGCGCGAATCCTTTCCCACACACAGGGCAAGCAAACGGTCTCTCCCCAGTGTGAACTCGCTGGTGTTTCAGCAGGTTTTTTGACAGAGTGAATCCCATCCCACAATCAGAGCAAGTGAACGGTTTCTCCCCATTGTGACTGCGTTGGTGCATTTCCAGCTGGGATGGGTAAATAAATCTCTTCCCACAACCCCCACATTTCCACAGTCTCTACCCAGTGTGACTGCGCTGGTCTTTGGACATTTCAGATGAATCTTCACAGACTCTTCGACACACAGACAATACGTATTTCTCCCTGGTGGGAACAGTGCTTTTTCCTTCAATGTTCAAAATCCTGAGATAATTAGGTTATGACAAACAGATTGAGTGTCAGATCCGGATGTGGTTTTGTTTGATTTCTCTAAATGCAATCAAAATTTCAAACAGAAAATAAAAGTAGAGAGAGAGAAACCAGAAGAACACACACAAAGATTGTGAAACTCAGAAATTAATCTGGTCAATTGTGGATCCAACACTTAGGGGAACTGCTGGATTATCAGTAAAACTGAACTGGTTCATAAATGTCCTTCAGGGAAGGGAAACAGTCAGTGTTTGCCCAAAACTACAAAAAGAGATAGAGCTTGGACAGACACGAAGGAGGGGCATTTTATACATCTGAAAATGAATCCAATTCCTGTTTTCTCCCCATACCCTTTGATCCCTCTGAAGGACTAAAAATAAGCAGCAAAATACTTGAAATCTGAAATAAAACCAGAAAATGATGGAAATACACAGCAGGTCTGGCAACATCTGAAATGGTGACAGATGCAGGAACCATTGCATTCTTGAAGAAGTGTTTAGATGATCATCCATTGCACTACAATATAGGTTACACACAGAGAGCCAGAAAATGGGCCTGGCTTAAATTGGTGCTTGATGACCAGCACAGATGCAATGGGGATCGTGTGTTCAACAATTTTACCTGAGTCTCTGACCCCATTTTGTTCCGTGTTTCTCTCTGATTCTCTCTTTTAGGAAGCAGGCAGCAGCAAGTAATGAAGAATGCAAGTGATATTTTGGCGTTCATTGTGAGAGGATTCGAGCACAGGAAAAGGGATATCTTTCTATAAGGGCCTTGGTGAGACCACATCTGGAGCAGTGTACACCTTTGTTCTCCTTTCCAAAGGAAGGATGCCCTGGCGAATGAATGAGTGTAAAGAAGGTTCACCAGACCGATTCCTGGGATCTCAGGACTGATGTATGAAGAGAGAGATTTGATCCTTGATTAATCCTTCTTTCTTTTAATCTTTCAGCCGCTGACAACATCATGAATTAATTTCACATCCCATTTGCTGATCTGAGTTTTTCACGTCGAAACCTACACTTTGGTTCCCATCCTCCCGTAATACGAGTTTAAATCCTCACCAATGGAAATAGCAAAAGCATCAACAAGAATACTTGTCCCAGTTCTGCCCAGGACAATTGGTCAAGATTGTGCATGTCCTACCTTCCCTGGAAACAGTCTCAATACCTCAGGAATCTAAACCTTTTCAGCTATTTCTCCAGCCATGCATTCATCTCATCTGTCCTGCTTTCACTAGCACGTGCATTGCAGCAGCTCATACTGTTACTGGATTAGTTAATGAAAGGTCCTGCGGGGGTCATAAAAGAGTCCTGTTGAGAAAGAACATTTGGGAATTTACTTGGGTTTCTGGAAACAGGCAGTTCAAAACACATAAGCATTTTAATAAGAAGCATTTTTTAAAGGCCTGGTTCAGCCACAATCGCAAGTTTGTTATTTAATAAAAAGTCGAAGGAAAAGTCTGGTCCTGCAGCATTCTGAACCGTTTAGGTAATTGTAACCAGAAATGCAAACAACCAATTAATGTGAAAGGGTTAGTTGAATTCCTTGAGCAAATGTTCGTGGGCAGTAAAAGCAGCTCACTGCATCATTAGGGAAGGCAAAGCAATAAATGGTGTAAACACAACCTGTAAAAGACCAACAGCACAGGAAGGGCCAAAGAAAGGTTGGCAAAAGAGAAGTCAGGACTGCAGAGAGATAAAACAATTGAAATGTAGATGTGGATAATTTGAATAAATTCTTACATCCAAAGATCAAGGGAAGAGTGACAAAGATAGATTACAAAATCCAAAGTGAAGATATGGTTAGTGCCCGCGTTATTTGTGAAATCTAAACAAGTTTTGTTTAATGGCTTGGTAAAGTTCTAAAGTGACTAAATTTCACCCTCATCAGTGGAATTCGAATAGATGCTTTTTATTAAAAAAAAGAAAGTAATAATGGAAAGAGATTAAAGGAGAAAATGAAACTTCAGTTTAAAATTCATTTACAGCATGCAAATAGTCGGGGTTGTAAACTGCAGCAGCAAGTCAGAAACACTGTTTGTTTGATCTCTTAAGCTGAAGTGAGAGAGGGATTTTTCTGCAATTTGTCAACTGTATTACAGAATTGCAGTTACTTTATATCAGAGTTGAGTTTAAAAGACTTTATTACAATTCCTAATAATCCATACGACAGTTAGTGGAGAATTTGGAAAAGTTCTTAGTGATAAGCTACTATTTCGGTTATTGACAAAAAGTGTGGTGCAGCTGGCAAATGTCTGAGGAAGAATTTAACTGTCAAAAGTGTTGTAAGGTCCCAAAGACAAGTGAAGTAGTTTTCTGGCTAACCTCAGGAGATTATGGGAGGGTTTAGGAGTGAACATCGTGTTGTCCACCATTGTTTGCTTACTGGATTGGATATATAGATTGGGGTGTGTGGCGAACAATGACAACAATATTGCATGTGAATAACATCTCGTGATAGGAATAAAAATATTACGACCAGCCAGAGAAAGTTCGAGTGTCATTGTCCACTCTTCCAATCTGAGCTGTATTTAAGAGGGAAATCAAGCCTCACATGAAAGCCAGATTTCGAGTGGACTCTCGCCTCTCCCACACATGCGGTAACAGAGCTCTGAATAAAGGTCTCTTGTACTACTGAACACAACACAAAACTCCTCTTTCATATTTCTCCCTACAACAATGTGGCACTGGGTGTAAGCTTGACAATACTACATTTGAGATCTTGTATTTTAATGTATCTCTTATCTTTCTATCTTCAGCTTTCAGGTCCTCCTTTCTTTGTTTTCCTATGTCATTGGTACCTACATGTTCCACAACAATCGGATGTTCATCCTCCAACTCCAGAATGTCCTGAAGCTGCTCCATGTCATCGCTGATCCTGGCACCAGGGAGGAAACATACCATCTTGGATTCATGTCTCTCTGTACCCCTTGCTATTGAATCCCCTGTCACTACAGTCATGTTTATCGTTTTCCTCCCATTCTGTGCAGCAGAGCCACCCCAAGTGCCATGAACTTGACTGATGCTGCTTTCCCCTGAGTGGCCACACTACCACCCCACTGAACAGTACCCAAAACAGTATATCTATTTGAGGGGGATGACCACTAGAGACTCCGGCACTTTCCTTCCGGAGCCTTTTACTTTGTCTGCTGGTCACCCATTCCTTTGCTGTCTGTGTAATCTTCACCTGCTGTGTGACCAATCTATTGAGAGTGCTACCGCAACCCTCTCAGTATCATGGATGCTCCATACTGAGTGCACCCACAGCTCCAGCTCTGACAAGCAGTTAACCAGTAGCTGCAGATGGACACACTTCCTGCACACATAGCCAATAGGAACACTGAAAACGTCCCTTACTTCCCACATTGTGCAAGAGGAGCACACCACGGATCTGAGGTCTTCTGTTATGACTTGTCTCCAGATTAAGCCAGTTTCTGCCTTAAAGAGAATTCAGTTAAGCTCGGGCTTCCGCCTTCATTTCAAACATTACTATTATAATCAAAAGTCCCTAACTTTATTTAAGCTAATATATACTTTAAAAGCTGTAAGAAAATTCTCTACGGTATCAATTATCAATTGGCTGTTTTCATTAGGACTGTGAGACTTTCTGAACTGCCCACACTGAGACTGAGCATCACACTCAATCTTTCAGCTTCACTTTCTCTCTGTTTCACCCAACTCCAAAGCACTCTCATTTAGCCAAGCAGCACTCACAGTACAGCCTTGTCATTTTCATTGTCTGCTCACACGCACTCTGATCTCAGTCTCCCATACTGTTTCAATGCAGCTCAATGGGAGCTCAGGGAACAGCGTCTCCACTTTAAATTCAGTAATTTATAACCCTCCGGACTCAACACAGACTTCAGCAGTTTCAGAAACAATAGAGTTGACAGGGTCTGGGAGATTCCAACTGAAGGGGTGCTGGAATTGAACCATTAAGGAATTTTAAAAGGAAGTTTGCAGGTATCCAAGAATGAAGAATTTATATGTTAAAATCATGAAGGGGTCGTTTGGGACTAAATATGACAGTTCTTTCAAAGAGATGAGGCGTTGTTTGGATAAATCTGCTCCTTCTCAGGCCAATATCTCCTTTCTCAGCTGCAGGGTATAGAACTGAACACTTATCCAGGGGTGATCGAAGCAAAAATTTGAATATCTTGCTCTTCAGTTACAAACTTACCAGGAATATTCTCCCACGGATAGAACAGTCAAACCTCTTTCCTTTCACAGTTAAGTCTCAATGATATTCAGATCCTGATCACTCCACTTACTGGAGAACTTGCTTTGTGATCCTGGTCTGCAAATTATTCTCAATTAATATCCTGTAAAACGAATCCACAAAAGACAAATAACTGTTAGCCCAGGATGGAAATCTAGAAGACACCACAAGATTGTCTGGAAAAGGCAAACATTTCTCTCGGTTTCTGTTAGTTGTGTAAAAATCGTCCTCTTCAAATCACCCCGCTCCCCCACACAGAAAAATGCAGAGGTAAAATACACCCATTATTAGAGACTGAGGAAGTCAGATATTAACAAATTTGACCAAGGGACACAAGGGTGATCAGAGCAGTTTCAGTGATTTGATCCCAATCATGTGAACACTAGACAAATGGATATGCTTTAATAGATCATAATATTTAAAGCAGCACTTCCTGCAGTGAGACTGCAACAGGTAACATGAAGTTCTGAGGAAGGGTTACCGGATCCTAATCGTTAATTTTTTTTTTCCTTCACAGATGCTGCCAGACCTACTGAGCTTTTCCAGCAACTTTGTTTTTGAACATGAAGCTCTGAACGCATTTTAGGCATTT